GTGCAGCCACCTGCACAGGGCGGGGAGGCCGAGGGGCTGAGCCTCTCCCCAGCAGCCAGACCTGGGCTGGGCCTGCTCTCCTCCGAGGCCCCCCTGCTCTTCCAGGGCCCAACACACACCCCCACCTCTCAGCACGCGGCTTCACCTTCCCCCCTCTGGGCGTGCTGACGTGGGTCTCTGCGTACCTTCTTTTATATGTAAACTAGAGGCCCAGCGCACAAAATCGTGTGCGAGCAGTTTGCTTCCCTTGCCTCTGCTGACTGCCCCACCCATCGCCGTAGCTTGCTGCCCCGCCCTCCACTGCTCATAGCTTTCCACAGCTAGTTGCTGTGCCCGCCCCGCCTGCTGCGAGAGCCGCTGCTCGTTTGGTTATTACGGTGTTACGGCGTGATGGCCACGGGCCTTTTATATAAGAGATATGTGTGTATATATATTTATTGGTTTCAGAGAGGAAGGGCAAGGGAGAGAGAGAGAAACATCTATGATGAGAGGGGATCATGGATCGGCTGCCTCCTGCACGCTCCACACTGGGGATGGAGCCTCCGACCTGGGCCTGTGCCCCGACCGGGAATTGAGCCTCCGGGTTCATAGGCTGATGTTCTCCCAAAGCCACGCCGGCCCGGGGGTTGGCCGTCTTTAACTTCTCCAGCGGGAGATGTTGTCCAGAGGGAAGGACAGTCGGGTGTGCGCACCCTTCCTCGCTGGGTCTACAAGGAGGTGAGGTGCCTCTGTTCCCAAAGCTCAGCCCGAGGAGACGGATGCGGCCCCGTCTGCCCTGTTCGCCGACTCACTGGTGTGACCGGAGTGCTGTCTGTGGCACAGTCGACAGAGGGGCAGAAAGGGGATGAGACGAATATTCATTTCCCCGTCTAGGCCCTGACTCTGCGAATATCAGCGATGACCGTGATGCCGCCGCCTCCCATCTCGCGGGTATTTTTGGTCCGTTATCGCTGAGAAGTTATTAAAAAACCCCCCCCCCCCCGTGTTTCCTTATCATCACGACAGTCCAGACGTTCTGCTCGTGTCCAATCGGAACCGCGGCTGCTTTATTAACCGCCCTCCGCTGCTGGCGTCTCTGAGGCAGAGAGCAGCGCAGCATCCTGCACACAAAACCCTTTATGTCCGTGGAGACAGTAATTTCCTGCGAAAAATTTAGTTGAAAAGTTTCATAAACTTGAAGGGAAGAAAAAAACAAACAAACCAGGGCTGTGGTTCGTCGATGCTCATGAAAATATTATCCAGAAGCTCTGGACACAACGGTGGTGCCACTGGCCTTTCCGCGTGACCAATCCGCTTCCGCCCCCTCGCGAGCAGCACGGTGAGCCGTCGTCACGCATTGAAATCACGCATTATCTGCCAAGCGTGGGTAATTGTCTTGAAGGCGGACGCATCACAGCGACCCTTTTGGGCGTCTCTTCATCTCTTTCACTGTATTCTGCAATTTTAGTTTACCGTTGTCCCAGTCGGAGTGATGACTCGTTTCAAATTGATTTGGGGAAGTGGATGCTAAACCCTTGAAGCCTGATTATGGGTAACCGCGGAGCAGACGTCCCCGTGGGGCACAGAGAGAGGTGTCGTCTCGCAGGGCCGTGCGATTTGGTTTCGGGAGCAGGTTCTAAGCAGCGCCTGTGCCCGGCACACGCTTCAGAGGCGTGTCGCTGCCTTCAGTCGTGTAAGGGTGGCAAGCCCTGAAGTCGCCGTGACGGCGAACATCGTGGGCAATTGGGACTGAAGCTGTTTCCGGGCTGGCGGCACGAGTGGGGCGGGCTGCCTCCTCTCTCTTCGTCCGTCCGTCACGCCGAGGGCGCCCCTGCCCTGGACGTCCTGAGTGGAGGGGTCTCTAGGCAGAAAGGCCTGCCCCAGCGCTGCGTGGAGACGAGGGCGTCGGCTGGAAACCCTGTGTGAGATGGGAACCCCGCAGGTGGGGGGGAGTCTCCTGTGGCCCCTCCGAGTCCCCCTTCCCCACCAGCGGCCGCCTGGCCTATGGGTGAGCGACACGCTTGAAGCCCTGGGCACGGCTGCCCGACACACGGTGCCTGCTCCGAACGCCAGAAGAGACTCCTGACGACAGCCCGACGTGGGCGCTCTGCCCCTAACTCAGGTTCCCGCCAGGAAACGGCTCCCGGGAGCCTCAGGCCTCCCGGACGCGGACGGGCAGGTCTGCTTAGGCCTCTGATGATATGAACATTCAGAGAGGGCTCAGCAGAGGGCAACAGGCTCTTCTCCCCTTTAGGTTCGCTGGGTGGGACGCGGGAAGGCGCCCCTGGCTGTGGGGGCGGCCGCCCTGCCCCTCCAGGTGTCTCTTCCTCACCAGGCGGCCCCTCGTCCGGGGCTGTCCTGCCTTCAGCGCAATCCAATCACTGCCCGCTCTCGGCGCAGCACCCCGGGCTCCCCCGTTTGTATGTGGGCTTACGCGTCGGTGTTTATAGTCACACCGGTTCGCGATGGAGCCCAAGAAGCAAGTGACAAACCAGCGACGTTCCTCGTCACGGGCGACGGTTTTCTTCTGTGCTCACCTCCCTTCCCGCGGCTCTCCCCGCGCCGGGTCTGAGGCCCGTGTTCCACGCAGGGGGCGTGTGAAAGCAGCCAATGGAAGCTCAGTATAAAGAACAGAAAGCGTGGCTCTCAGCAGGCGGGAGAGCCATCGAGCAAGACACCGGGGGTGGGGGTTGGGGGTTGGGAGTGTCGAGAAGCAAGCACACAAGCCGGCCAGAGACCCGGAAACCTGAACGGAGGCCGCGCTCCAAGTAGGACGTGCATCCATGCCCGCCTGTCCTCAGGGATGCTAGGGAAATGGTTGGTGCTGTTGTCATGGCGACAGAGAACAGCTGGGCCGAAGGGCTAAAGGTCTCTCCATAACGCCCCACGCAAGATCTCTCGTGCGAAAGCGGGTTTTCTAGCCACAATGGAGGCGACGTGTGCTCAACAGCACCCTGAGCTTCCACACCAGGTCCTTCCAGTTACTCCGACAGACAGAGCGGTGGCAGGAGCAGGTGTGGATGCTCCCACCTCATGCACTTTATGGACGGGCCCCCCTCCGCCCTCACGGGAGCACCTGTAAGGACACCCGCTCCTGAGAGACAACACGGCATCCGAGTGGGAGCTGTGAGCACGGACAGGTCCTGGCGGCAGCCCGAGCGCCACCGACCCCTCGCCCGGCCAGGCAGGGCCCAACGATCGCACTGGAGACAGGAACCGGAACTTCCCCCCACGAGTGGCCGGGCTGTTCCCAGGCCCGTCGCCGGGGTTGGAGGGAAAGGGCGTCCACGTGCCGGCCTCTCCCGGCCCAGGCGGTAGGTGGGTTTCCGACTCCGGTAACGACACTGCTCCATGGCATCTCCATCCGTAGGCCGCCCCGCCCACCTGCTTCTGGCTCCCACGAGGGGCGCTAGGGCTCCCGCCCTCCTCCCATCCGCCCTCCTCCCGTCTGCCCTCGTCGGTCTCTGCCTGAGCCTCCCCTCCCTCTCCCCCGTGGGTGTAGCCCAGACCCGAGTGTCTCCCCAGCATCACCCCAGATCACCCCACGGATCCCCACCCACTGCCCCTCCAGACGTCGAAGTCACCTTTCTCAGACACAGGTCAAACTGCCACCTCTCGTAACATCTTTCAGAGAGTCTCTCCTCACTGTTGAAAATCCAAACTTTTTAAGAAATCACCTGTTTTTCAGTTTTAGAATGTCTCCCCAGCATCACCCCAGATCACTCGGGTCCCCACCCACTGCCCCTCCAGACGTCGAAGTCACCTTTCTCAGACACAGATCACACTACCACCTCTCGTAACATCTTTCAGAGCGTCTCTCCTCACTGTTGAAAATCCAAACTTCTTTTAAAAAAATGACCTGTTTTTCAGTTTTAGACTAAAAGTTGTGTATATTTAAGGTGTAGGGTTGGGAGCGGAGCCGAGGTCATGTGGGTGGGCCTCGTCCAATCAGGTGAAGGCCTAACTAGAGCAAAAGGCTGCCCTCCCCTCGCAGGAGCGAATTCTGCTTCACCCCGAGTTCACCAACTTCAAGGTCCACCTCACCCACGACCTCCCTCAGAGAAACATCTAGAACCAACTTGGTCAAGTAACCCGGGCACTGTGGCTCGGCCACGCGACACGGAGCACGCACTACCCCGATGTAGAACACGGAGCATGCACTACCCCGATGTAGAACACGGAGCCATGCTGACACGGAGCACGCACTACCCCGATGTAGAACACGGAGCACTGTACGGCTTCGTAGACACGGGAAACGCTCACTAACCGGATGCTGGGCTGTCCTACGTCTTCCTGCCTGCAGGAGCCACGAGCGTGTGAGCCGGGGCCCGGGGCGTGGTCTCTCGCGAGGACTTGGGTTCCTTCTCCCTCTAGTCTGTCTCTGCCAGCCACCCACGCCAAGTTCAACTACGTGTCCTACAAACAACACGGGTAAGAAAGCCTTCTTAGTGCAGAGCCGGCAGTAGGCACAGAGCACAGGACGTGTGTGAGGACAAGCTGGCGTGAACTCAGGGAGACGGGGCGAGCTCAGGCCCTGCAGCTCCCTCAGCTGTTCCCGAGGGGACGGAAGGCCTGCGCCCCCCTTTCTCAGGGGAGCGTGTGCGGTGGGAACCACGACCCTCTTTAGTCTGGATGAGGGGATCGCTGCCCGCCGTCGGCGCACCGAAGAGGATGCGGGCACCTGTGCTTGCGCGTCTCCTTGTAAAATTCCCAAAGGGCCGATGAGCCCCCGAGCCCAGCGGTCCCTCACGCCGAGGGAGGGGCGCACAGTGGATGGGCATCCACACGCCCCGGGCACATTTCTTTGCTGGAGAACTAGAGCTCATTGCTCATCTGGAACCCAGTCCAAGAGGTGAGATGGCCCCGCCAGACAGCATGTGGCCGAGACCATTGCTGGCCTGTTAGGTCTCAGCACACACCCTGGGGGCGGGGGGTGGGGAGTCCCGGGGAATCACCCAGAATGGCTCCAGCTCAGCATCTCCACGGTTCGCGGCAAAGGAGGCAGCAGAGGACCAGGTGCATATAGAGGCTTGATGACATTTTATTGGATAGTTTGCGATCACATAGATCTGTGCCACATGCTCGTTCCTAGAACGCGCAGCATCCAACATCGTATTTTTCGAGACCTCGCGTTTGTCACAGAAACGCGCCACGTGTCCTTCCTAGAGACTTCCTACGTACGAATCCTATGAAACAGGCTGCAACTCAGATCCACGCGTCCTACGCTGCTGCTGGCTGATTATGAAAATAGATGCAAAAATAGAGAAATGCAAAAATACGGCTTGGCAATACCAGAAAAATAGATCTCTTTCTTTGATTCCATGACTTCTGAGATTCAATATGAACACTGATGAGCAGCTGCTCCCTGAACAGAGAAATAGAACCCCCGCTCCTCCCCGCTCCTCCCTCCTGACACCGAGCCCAGGACCGCCGCCCTGTCAGCTGGGTGCAGGCAACGCTAAGTGTTCTAAGGAAGGCGATCATGACACTGGGCGGAGCGGGTGTCGCCAGAGCGCCACCCCAACACTGTATTTTGCTGGGAACGTAGTTTAAGTATTTAAACAAGAAAGTCCCGTGGATTCACTGACTGTCTCAGGCCTGAGCAGCGAAGAGCGGAGTGGCGTGAACTGTTAAAATCCTCCCGCCTTCCGGCTGAGACCCCACGGGAGCGATTCCCGCAAGGGGGGCCTTTGCACAGTTGTGCAAACCGCCTTTCGCGGTGTTTTCCTGCCACGGTAAAGAATTTATTTGACTTTCTTCATCTGTGCTTTCTGGAGCTAATTATGTGTGCTTAGATACAGTGTTAAAATTAAGTGCAATTTTTTAATTATAAAATGTTTCCTTGGAAACTTATGTGTTAAATCATACTTTGTCCTAAAATCCTTAATTTCACCCACAATTAGCAGTCACGAAGCACAGCCCAGGGCAGTTTGGAAACGGTCGCAACATTGCCACCAAACACAAATATTTTGCACCATGAATGGCTGTGGGGTGACCACCCAATTGACCGCTACCCTGTGATTTAGCAACTGTCCTCAGAGGAGAATTACTCGGTTAGTATCATTCATCAAATGGTGCCTGGTAGCAGGCTTTTTTTTTTTAAATATATATATATATAATATATAATTTAGAAATTGATTCAGAGATGCAATGCTTATCTAGAAATTATATATCTGTTTTCCTGTTGAAAGGGCTGGACCGAACCACCGCACAGAGAGATCAGCAGGCGGGGTGGCCTCGGAGGCCACAGATGGCCCCGCAATCACCTTAGCACACGGGCTACACGGCCAGGGGCAGGCCTCGCTTTGGCACGTAAGGGGTTGTCCTGGCAACCATGCGGATGCAGTCGACAATGGGGCAGACGCTGAGGCACAGGGTACAGCCTGTGCAGGCGTCCCCCACGCTGGGCAGGTGGGTCTCGGGGTCAAACTGGATGGCCTGCGAACAGAAAGAGAGACCGTCGCTGACAATGCCCCCCCCCTCCCAGGTGAGGGACGCCCCTCCCTCCCGGGCCCACAGGCTCTCCGCCCTGCAGCCAGCTAAGCCCAGGCTGGTGCAGCCATGGCAACAGTTGCGCTGCCCGCAAGGAGGGGAGAGGAGGGAGAAAGGCACAGAAAAGAAAGCCTTTCACGTTAGAGACGGGATGTTCAACCTTCCTGAGAGGGTCCTGCTTGTGTCGTGTGGCGACACGGCTGCTCTGTCCTGTGTGGGAGCAGGGCAGACCCCGTGGACGGGTCTGCTGCCCGGGGAGGCGGAGGCACGGTTTGGATTCTGACTTTTGGGTGCAGTTTTTACAAGAAAACAGGAGGGAAAGAGCGAGCTAAGGAGCCGGGTCGGAGGTTTGGGGATCCCCCGGCAGATTGTAGGCTCTGCCCCATCCCGCAGGGGAGGAAGCACTGAGGACAGGGGCCAGGCCACTGGCTGCCAGGCACCCCTCCTCCCCCTGTCACTGTCCAGCTGGGAACCGGGTCAGGACTTGGGGAAATTTGATAACTTCTAAAAATTTTTATTGATTTCAGAGAGGAAGGGAGAGGGAGCGAGAGAAACATCCATGATGAGAGAGAATCATGGACCGGCTGCCTCCTGCACGCCCCACACTGGGGATCGAGCCCACGACCCGGGCCTGTGCCCTGACCGGGAATCGAGCGGTGACCTCCTGGTTCACAGGCCGACGCTCAGCCCCTGAGCCCCGTGGCCGGGCGGGGCCGCCTCACCTGGTAGCCGGAGTCGTTGCAGGTCATGTAGCACTTGCCGCAGTTGATGCACATGTCCTCGTCGATCAGGGCCACCACCTGCTCCTCGATGCTCAGGTCGCCGAAGGTGCCCAGGTACTGCAGGGTCCTCCCGATGACATCCTGCAAGGTGGACACGGAGTCACCGCAGCGCCGCGGGAAACGTCACCGAGTCACGGACGTCAGTCCACACACCCTCTGAAACCCGCACTGTCTCCTGCCAGGGAGTGCAGGTGTCCTTGCCACCATGTGGCTGCCCGCCTGTCGGTGGCCCCGGGCCTCCAGGTCGGTATCTCCATCCCCAGCTGCCCTCCCCGTCCCAGGGGCACCCTCAGCAGCACCCTGAGGGCCTTCCCACAAATGGGACCCTCGGTTTCATCAATCACTCAACGTGGCGTCGATGCCGAGAAACAGGGGCTTCTGACCTCCCCGCCCTGGGGAGCAGGGCGAGGCCGCTCCCAGCACCGAGCCCTGGACGTTGGAGTACTAGTAGCATTGCATCCGCTTCTCCCTCCTCTGTCTCCTGGGCTGCGGCTGTGCGTGTCTGAGTCCTGCACCTGCCACAACTGCAGAAGCTTCCTCCCAGGAGCAGGGCGATCGTCCCTCCCCCTCGGCCCCTCCTGTGAGGCGGCAGAGAGCGCTCGAGGGCCCAGGGTGGAGCCTGGCTTTGCAATGCAACCCCGGCCTGGACACTTTCATGGCTGTGTGACCTTGGGCAAGTGACTGAACCTCTCTGTGCGTCCATTACTCATCAGCGAACGAGGAACAATATAGGCACCTGCTACCGATGGGGTTACTGTGAGGAGCTCACGCACAGGCTCAGGGACAGGGCCTGAAACCTCCTAAGGACTCAGTAACTACTCGCTCTTAGCACTAACCTCTGCTTAATGAGCACCATGGATTAAACTCAGCGTTAGATATCGCGTCTCCGTGGAGCTTCCACCTGAGCCGCGCAGAGCTCCTCGCCCCGCTCCCGGTTCCCGGAGTGTTTCGTGCGCACATGATTGGACTGTGAGTACCTCCTAACACGCCTTCCTCCCTTGTCAGACCGCACAGCCCAGCAGGAGAGTCCTTTCTTTTTAAAATTCACGCTGTACTCCCAGCTCCTCGTGCCACACGGTGTGTGCGTAACACCTGTAAGCTGGTGCCCGTGTGGCTCAGCGGTTGAGTGTCGACCTCTGAACCAGGAGGTCACGGTTCGATTCCCGGTCAGGGCACAGGCCAGGTTGTGGGCTCGATCCCCAGTGTGGGGCGTGCAGGAGGCAGC